TGGCTGCAAAATTATGTGACGATCTGGCCAAAATTAAAGAATTTTTTATAGCGTCATTTATTCTAATTTAGAAATTGCGGGCAAATTTGCCCGCAAAACAGTTTAAGGGATAGTATAGGATTCTTAAAACATTTTTGAAATTGGAAAAGTAAGCATTCTATTTATTACAATTACAGTAACTCTAGTGAAAATATAGAATATTAGATTGTAAAGTATCAAAAAAGGAGAGTGAAAAAATTTAATGATAATGTCAATTTTGATGAAGGATTTAAGAAATTTAATAATTATTATTTATTTTATTATATAAATGTTAGATATGAATATGTATGCTTAAAATTTTATGTCTTTATTGAAAAATAAAAAAAAAATATCTTGTTAAAATATAAAACAAAATAAAATAACAATATAAATATCATAATATAAATAAATAAAATTAGAGCTTCTAAATGAAAGTTTGTTATTTTTATGTCTGGTATGATATTCATTATCTAAGATATAAAATTCATATCAAGATTTAATCATCTTTATCATCATCAAACAATGAATATAATTTTATGTCTTTAAATTTTTTTTAGTTTTCTTTATCCATTTTTCCGTTATATCATGATTTTGATGAAAACAAATATATGGTGAATTACTATGTAGTAATTTTCTAAAGAAAGAATTATCAAGTCTTTCATATTCATCAATAAGTTCTGCTCTAAATGTCACAAGTCCAAGATTTCCGTCTTCTTTTGCTTTATTAAATGCATCACTAAAATATTATTTTGTAAAATCGAGTTAGACAAATAAAATATTATAATAGTATTATATTCAAATTATTAGATAATAATACTTACTTCATCAATGCAATAATCATATTTAATAAAACAAGAACTAGAATAACATTTGCTATGAAAGCAAGTAATTTTAATGGCCAATAATTATAACCACTCAGATCAATTGCATTCCAATAGTATGCGGAGAGTATAGCATCCCATATTGTGTTAAAAGGATTTTCTGGAATTTCTCCTGTTAAAGTAAAATTATTAGTTCCATTATCTAATGTGAAAGTTGAAGCTGATGGATTTAAATCAAGAAGTGATGGATGTCCAAAAAGGACAAACCTATTATTAATAAAATAAAAGTTAATTTATTTACATAATTAGTACATGAATGAAGAAATATAAAGAAAAATTACATTGAATGTCCAAAGCCAATTGTTAAAATAATCATAAACACAAAAAATGGTATAATCTTTTTTAAAATATTTCCAAAAATATATATATATACTGCCACTTCTGTGAATAATCGTAGCCAAAGGAGCTTGAGAAGACAAATAACAAGTTAATATTAACATAGCATTATTATAAACTTTTAGTAATGATTATTATACATACCATTTCAATCCAAAGTATTAGAGTAGTAACCGCTAATAAAATAACAATCCTTTCATTATTAATTTCATTAACTTCATTAAATGACTTTACAAATATCAGAGTGAAAACAATTACACCTAAAATGATACTGCACAAATCAAATACATTAAATAATGAAAGGTATTTGATTTTATATTTTCTTATTTCCATAAATTCAATAGCTAATAAATATATTCCAACATAATAAAATATTCCAACCACTGTCATAAGCGTAGCATTGTGCTTATTTTTATCATCATTATCACTTAAGTAGAGTTGAGAAAGAAATGAAAATAAAAATAAAAATATAATGTAAAATATTAAAGGTATCATCCAATATATTTTTGCTTGCCTCCATCTTGAAGTCATAACTGCTTCAATAAATGGATTATCAAAAATTATATCTTTACTTTCAATATAAAGAAATGATTTATGTCCTTTATAATCTAAATTCTTGTAGCCAGGCGGAAGTAATATTTTCCTCAACCAATACAAAATTGTACCAAATTTTCCTCCAAATTTTCCTTCAATTTTTTCACCATAGGTTGTAAAATTAGGAACAATATAAATATTGGGTAATTCTTCATCTCTATATTTTTAAAAATAAATATTAATGATAAATTCAAAAAATTTAGTTTATTTCAACAACAAATACCTTATCTTATTGTATTCAAAAAAGGTTGAAGATTTTGCTGGTATAAGTTGGGTAAGAGGTATATATATTTTTAAATTTAATGTATCTCCGATTATTTTAAACCTTCTAATTGGAAAATTATATTTCATTTTTCCAAAATGAGATTTGTTAAAATATAAATAATATAATGATTCCATATAATCAGCTAAATAAGCAAGAATCATTTTAATAAAAAAGTGATAATAAATTAGTAAATTAAAATATTATAAATATTATTATGTATAAATATACCAGATAATTTCGGAAGAATTTTTGTGACATTAATCATCCAGCCAATATGACTGCATTCCATAAAATTTCTAGAATAATATTCTAATAGATATGCTAGCATAACAGCATCTCGACCTATTACCAATAAAAGCCATACAAGTCAAAATTAAATAATAATATTAATAAGGTAATGAGGAAATTAAGATATTAACCTTGACGACATTTTAAAGTTAATTCTAAATCATTAGCTGATTTTAAATCCTCATCCCTCAATTTCAAATCTAAATCATAATATGGATAAGTAACATATTTATTTTGAGGTCTATGTAAATAACCATCTTCTTTATTGTGCTGAAACAGAATATATTTAATTAAAGAAAATGAACGCGAATAAATTAGATACGCCATTAAAGGATATTGAACCTCCATAAGTTTCCAATGATTAGGAAAATATTTAATGAAACTTTTGATGAATTTTATTGTTTCATTGACAAGCTCTTGATGATTAGAATCAATACTTTTCCCTCGATCAATACCATCATTATCGTCATATAGATAAGCAAGAAATCTACATGCAATTTTTATGTTTGTAGCCATGTCTTTATCAAATTCAGGTTTATCTTCGTAATCTATCCTGAAACACAAATCTCTAAATCTTTCAAAAGTTTTTGAGAAGTCTTCGTCGAAATCCTTTAAATCAGATTCCACTGATTTTATTATACTGCTACTACTATTATGTAAACTTTCAATATTATTTTCATTATCAATAAAAACTACCACCCCATTTGCTTTTGCTAAACAATGATCATAATCATAATTCGATAGAATAGAAGTATTATGTTCAATAACTAAATGATCATTTAGGCATCCCGATAACACCCAAATATGAAATTTCATGTCCCCATTTTTATCTTCAATGATAATTAATTCTTTATCTTCTTTATTGAATTCTAAGAATTTAATTTTATTAATATCATTAAACCTTTTCTGAACAACCTCGAGTCCACTTTCCATTAAATAAATTGTAATAGTATTATCTCCATAAGAATAAGCAAATAATCTTGAATCAGTTGATATCGAACCAGTTGATTTCGAACCAGTTGATATCGCAAAAATCCCAAGTTCATTTTTACTCATTGAACAAACTGAACAAACTGAAAAAATATTCACTAGTTGTAAAGTATTAATATTATATAATCCAATACATTGTTTGTGTTGATAATCCTGATAATCCTTTGTTTTAATAATTAAAAATTCCTGCCATCTAGATTTCAAAAGATATTTCAATTTACAACTTCCATCCTTGATATTTTCTAGTTCATTGAATAAATTTTCAGGTAATAGATAAGCACCTCCTTCTGATGCAGAAATGTTTTCGTACGTTATTTTAATATTAATCTTTCGTATTTTTGTACAATTCATGCAGATAAGTGTTGCACTATTCTTCGATGAATTTTTAGAATTTTTTAAAAAGCTAACGACTCCACCACCACGATGATATGTTGATTTATTGTTATCATTGTCATCATAATGAGAATTATTTTTAAATGAAAATTTAATAAGCTTTATCGTTCCCTTGCTAGGAATCAAGGATAATCGAAATTGTTCAATATCATCTTCACTTGTAGCATAGTAAGACGCACAGAGACGAAAGAAATAATATAAATTGAGTAAAACAAAAAGGCAGAGTAAGAATACACTCAAAAAGATTGGAAGGGACAAAAAAACAATAAAAATGAGGAAGAAAATGATAAGACAATAAGGAATTAATAATTTGACAAAATTTTGTAATAATTGTTTTGTTATATCTAATAAAATTTGAAATTTATTGACTTGCTCAATTCCTTTTAGATTCATGTCTTCGTCAATTATATAGGAAATTGCAACTAAACCAGTGTCATTGTCAATTATGTCCGAAACTGCTAAAGACCATCCAAGCGGTTCATCGCCATCATGAAAACATTTTCTATCAAAGAATGTGTTTGTCTCTTCATTTGGGGACACGCACAGCAAAACAAGGGGATAGGATTTAAAAATTTTTTTTTGAGACTTCATTACAACTGTAATTTTTGGATAAATTGGAGCATAATTATCATATAAACTTAGGAAATATTTTTTTGAGGCTATCCCCTTGTTTTGCTGTGCTTATCCCCATTTGTCGCTACTTTTTTAATTGATATGGAAGTGTCGTCTGATAAATTAAGTTTAGAGGAATTTATTTTATTATTTTTAATGTTTTTAATATAAAAATTGATATATATACTATTATAATTCGTAACTTACATGGATTAAACTTTGCTACTATCGAACCATCTGGGCTAATGGCCACATAAGTAATTTCTTCTCCATTTGCACTTTCATCAACGTCTTTATCTGTTTCGGTACCTTTGATTTTGATTTCGATTGCGTCCATGTTTTTATTAAAGTATTAAAATAAGAATTTTCTTTTTTTTAAAAAAAAAAAAAATTTAAAAAAAAAAGAAAAAAAAAATTTTACAAGAATTTTTTTTTTCCGTAAAAAAAAACTACATCTATATCATTTAAAAAAATCGACCATATGGGCTGATTTTTGGAAGGCTAATCAATCAACGCACCTGACATCCCTCATTTGCCCATAGACCGGTCTAGGCCTTTCCTTTTTTGGTATAAAGATATATGTAGATCACCGACTAAATATATGCCGCACCTGCTACCCTGGGTTTATTGATTAGAATTCCAAAAATTGGCTGATATGCAAATTGCATATGTCGTTCCCTTGAAGGTCTTTTTAATTGTGGGCCCAGCCCGATACCCGTTAAACAGACTCATAAAATTGCTTTTTTTGTCAAAGCAGAAGTTTCACGAATTTTTAGGCTGCGGAATTATATTTCAATATTATCACAAAAATTATCACTAAAAATTTTCGTTCTTGCTAAAATTTTCAAAAAGAAGTGAATTTTTAAACTTTTACCGTTATAACAATATATACTTGATAAATAAAAATAATACTAAATACGTAGAATAATGAATTTCAAATATTAAAATCTTTCTTTAAATCTGGGCTATCAAAATATTTTGATTTATTATTATCGTACAAAATGCATTCTCGTGATATTATGATATTATTGTATTAAGTTCATTTAAAAAGTTATTGAGTAAAATCATTTATTTTTCGAAAAATGTAAATAATTAATTTGTTGAGAAATTATTTAAAATACAATACATCCCATAAAATTTTTACATTCTTACAAAAAGATCGTTGATTATAAAGAATTGCATTAATTTAAAAAATAATTGTTTTTAAATTAAAACGAAATTTGAATATTCGATAGTAAACATGCATGAAATATAATCTATGTGATAGTAAATATTTGTATGAAATTATTTTGTATTGTTTTTTCTTTTTTCCATAAATTTGGTTCTCAAAAATTGATTATAAAATTGGATTTGTACGTACTTTCGATTTTTTAACAGTGATATAGAACTCACCAAATTCTTCTTTATTTTAATTAGAAAATGATGTAAAATTATTTGTTTAAAATCATAACTAATGTTGGTGTTAATATTTTGAATGATTATTAAAGTAATAAAGAAACCTTTAGATGATTAAAAGGTGATTATTTTTGTGATAAGATCGAATGTATCCTAACAACCAAAAAAATTACGTGCAACTTTCTGAATTCATTTAAAATTACTATAATTTTCCGTCTGGTATTACAAAACTTTATGTTGCAAATCTGCTTGTTTACATTGGCTGCAGAATAACGATCTATTAGCAAAACTATTGGAAAAAAAATTTAGGGCTTAGTAATAAGTATAAATAGATAATAAATATCTATAATCTATCACAGGTATAGCTGCTGAATGCAGAACGGCGTAATTTGACACGTTTTAATAGAAATGTCTGCCATAAATAAAAATAGAACAATATTAAAAAGAATAGATAAATAAATTATTGACTTTGACCTTATTTGGTTTTAGCTGATATGGGAATTTTCAATAAAAAACCAAACGGATTATAATGGGTATACAATACTTTACTATAACTAAAGTAATTTTATTTTCTTAATTTAATAATATGTATATAGTGTTTCAATCAATTCAAAATGGGGATTGTCATCATACATATTTCATTTTTGGGTATATCAATGACTATATCATTATTGTCACGAAATGATAGTTAATTTTACACCTGATATATAAAAGTTTAGCTGATGTTACGTAATTGATCTGTCACATGATTAATTTTTGAAAACATTTTTAACGGTTCTTTTTTTCTTATTCTGCACCAATTTAACCACGATAATCTGAAGCTGATTTTAACAATAGATACACCACTAATTTAAAAATTTATTTGTTGTTTTTACTAAATAAATGTAATTTTTTGTAATATGTACAGTATATATATTCAAACTATTTTTATTAAATTCGATGTATTCTTGCTTAATAATTAATCTTCTTTGATACGATTGAATTCATTGAAGCACGATCTATGTTATCTAAAGAGTAATTCTAATAAAAATATAAATTTATAAATCTTTTTATTACCTTTTATTAATTTATATTATTAAATGTATAGAAATATCGGAATATCAGATAAAGGTTGATATCCTTCAATCCAAATTCTGTTAAGTTATTAGCTAAAAATACTATTTGGCATTAACAAATTTTGTATGTCTCATATATATTAGTTGTGTATTATTGAAGTAACTGAACGATTACAGTATATTAAAAATTATAAATATTGATTTTTTTTCATTTTCTTTTTTACAGTACAATAAATGGAGCTAAGATTTAGATCGGTAAATCGACGCAATTTGGGTAAAGGTATAGCAAAAAAAGGAAACCGCTTAAAAAACTGGATATAAATCGTTAATGTTACACTGTCGATCATTTTGCAGATCCTATATATGAATTATACAGAATATGTTTATTGATTTAAAGATTTAACCAGACGATATTATTATGAAATAATATTTTGTAGATTAAATAATAATATATCTTCAATTTCGGTTGTATTTACTAATATTGAAAATCATATAACTTTCATACTTTGTCGTTAAAAAAAAAAAGAAAGAAAATCTAATTATATTTTGTTTTACTGATTGTAATTATTATAATTATACATTTATTTATTACATTTTTACAATGAATTAAATTACTCATATAGCCAACTAAATTATAATTGATTTAATCATCTTACGTCTAAACTACAGAAAAAAAAATTGTCTACAGTAAATTTTGAAATTTGTAATAGTATTTTAAAATTTATCTCAAGTAAAAAATAAAAAAAAATAAAAGTATCTAGAACCAGAGTGTCATATGATCAGGTGTAGGAGAAGAGTCTTGATAATCTTCATTACCTGAGATAAGTTCATACCAAGATGTAATGTCAATTCCATCATCATCATAAGTTATATTTTCTTTATTAATACTTTCATTAAACCATGAATATAACTTTGTTTTACTAAGTTCTTGAGATTTTTTCATCCATTTTTTCATCAATTCAGGATCTCGAAGATAACAAATATATGATGAATTATAAAATGAAAACGTATCAAGTTTCTCAAAATCATTAACAAGTTCTGCTCTATATATCAATAATCCGAGATTACCATCTTCCTTAGCTTTATTAAATGTGTCACTAAGAAAATTTTTTTTAAAAAAATATTTAAGGTTAAATAAGGTTAAATAAACAAAATAAACTAATATATTTTTAATAGATATTAAATTACTTACTTCATCAACGCAATAAGCATGTTTAATATAACAAGAACTAAAATAACATTGGCAATAAATGTTAGTAATTTTAATGGCCAATAATCATAATTATTCAAATTTCCTGTACTCAAATAGTACATGGAAAGTATAGATTCCCATATTGTGCTAATAGGATTATCTTGACTTGGTCCTGTTAAAGTTAGATTTACAGTTCCGTTATATAATGTGTAATTTGAGGCTTTTAAATAATAAAGTGGTGATGGTTCTTGAAAAAGAATAAACCTATTATTATAAAACAAGTAAAAGTTAATTTTTTTAAACATAATACAAGTAGTCTTCCAGCCCGTTAACTCATTATCCACCAGATTACGGGTATCAATCAACAAATCTGGATTTTTCAAATGACGGATAGCATCAAATTAGATTTCTAGGATAGTTGAATGATGGATCAGACAGATGTAGTTTATCAATATCCATAATCTGGAGTAATTTCTCAAATAAACTGATGATGAATCGAAACACTAAATACAAGAATAATAATAAAAGAAATTACATTGAATTTCCAAATCCTATTATTAAGATGAGCATAAATATGAAAAATGGCATTATCTTTCTTAAAATATTTCCAAAAATAAATATATTTATGGCCATTACTGAAAATAATCGAAACCATAAGAGCTTGAAGAAATAAACAATGAATTAGATAAAATTATTTAAAAATTAAATTCCAATAATCATTAATCATACCAATTCAATCCATAGCACTAGTGTAGTCATTGATGCTAAAATCATAATTGTTTCATTGCTGGTTCTAACAGTAAAAGATATTAAAGAAAATACAATTATACCCAAAATAATACTACTTAGATCAATTATATTAAACGTCGTAATGTATTTGGTTCTATATTTCATTATTTGTCTGAATTCGATTATCAATAAATATATTCCAGTGTAATAAAATATTCCAATTCCAATCTTTATTAATGCATTAAACTCCTCATCACCATTTAATAAAAGCTGAGAAAGATAAGAGAAATAAGTCAAAAATATAGCATAAAAATATAAGGGACCCATCCAGTATGCCATTGTATCACGCCATCTCGAATTTATAGCTGCTTCTATAGCCGGAACTCTAAAAAATTCTTTTTCCCTCTTTTTTAATTTGATGAAATGAACTAAAATATTTGTCTTCTAATTTCTTATAACCTGGTGGAAGGAATATATATCCCAACAAATATATGAAATTTTTAATTCCTTTAAATATTCCTTTTCCATCCTTTTCTACAACCCTAAAATTATGTGTTGTAAAATTTGGGAGTGGAACCATATAGATATCAGGCAAAATATCCTCCCTACATTAAAGATAAAAACAATAAATTAAAGATTTATAAAGAGTGAGTTAAATTAAATGATACATACCTTACTTTCTTATAACTCAAAGAATTTTTTGGTACAATACTAGTAAGTGGCACGTATACTTTTAATATACCTTGACAAACTGATAATTCTTTAAATCTTCTAATTAAAAAATTATATCTCATTTCTCCAAAACAAGGCTTGTAAAATAATTGATCCATATAACTACCTATATTAATTAATAATAAATACTTTTAATAACAAAGCTTATATAAGTTAACACTAAAATTTAATACTGCAATATACCATAATAGTCATTATAAGAAAATTTTGATAATTCTGGAAGTATTTTGTAACATTGATCATCCAACAAATATGAGTCATAGAATTTTCAGAATAATATTCCAATAAATATGCTAACATAACAGCATCTCGATCTATTAATAAAGTTGATGTTAAAAATATATTACTTATTACTTAATAATAACAAGGATGAACTTAAAGTGTTAGCCTTGACAGAATTTTGAAGCCAATTCCAAATCATTAGCTGGTTTCAAACTTTCATCATTCAATTCTAAATCTTCAAATAATTTCAATTTCAAATCACTGGCTGATTCCAAATAATTGTTATATGTATATTTACTTTGTGGTTTGTGTAACATTTTAGCATGGGTATTAGTTTCAAACAGAATATATTTGATTAGAGAAAATGAGCGTGAATAAATTAGATATGCCATTAAAGGGTGTTGAACCTCCATAAGTTTCCAATTATCAGGATAATTTTTTATAAAGTCTTTAATAATATACATGATCCCGTTAATGAATTTTTGATATTTTTCTCTAGAATAAATACTTTTTGTATGTTTATATAGATAAGCAAGTGATCTACATGCATGAGATATAATGGTAGTCATGTCATCATTAATTTGAAATTTGGCTTTTTTTTCTGGTTCGATGCTATCACTTATTAAAATATAAACAAGATTCGAATTTTCAAAATTTTTTAAAATTGTTAAAATCTACAAAATTTATGGATTTAGATTTCCATAGTTGAATGCTATTTTGACCAATTATAAGAAGCAATCTTTTGTCGTTATTAAGAAATCTACCACTAATAGTCTTTGTATTATCATAATTATTCCATGGTTCTAGATTACATGATTGATATTCATACTCATCAGTTACAGCATCATTTTCTCCAAAAATCGTTCTTTGTATAGTTATTTCGTGTACGGTTCTAAACTGTTCCCCATCAATTTTAAAAACTACTTTTCCATTTGCTTTTGTAAAAGCATTATGATGCTCATCATATTTTGACAGAATAGAGATATTACTATCCGATAAACCAATATCATCTTTAGAAATGGAAAAATAATCATTTAAACATCCTGATATAATCCAAATATGAAATTTCACATTACTTTCTCTATCTTCTTCAATAATGAATAATTTTTTATCTTTTTCAATAAATTCTAAAAATTTAATTTTAAAGATATTATCAAATTTCTTTGAAACGACCTCAAGTCCACTTTCCATTAAATAAATTGTAATAATATTATCTCCATAAGAATAAGCAAATAATCTTGAATCAGTTGATATCGCAAATATTCCAGGTTTTTATCATTTGAAATTAAGCAATCTTCAAGATGTCTATAAAACACATTTATTAATTGTAAATTATTAACATCATATAATTCAATGCTTTGTACGTGATCATTTTTACTCGTATCAATCATTAAAAATTTCTGAAATTTAGATTTTAAAAGATATTTCCATTTGCATTTTGAATCTTTAAAACTTCCTAATTTTTTAAATAAATTTTCAGGTAATAAATAGATACCTTCTTTTGATATAATAATATTCTTGTCCAATATAATATTAATTTTTTGTATTTCCACACAATTCATGCAGATAAGTGTTGTACTATTCTTATTAGAATTATTTAAAAAGGTAACAGCTCCACCAAGATGATATATTGAATAATTATCGTCTTCTTTATCATTGTTGTTATCGTTAAATGAAAATTTAAAAATTTTTATCATTCCTTCACTAGAAATAAGAGATTGCTTTATATCAGTCTTTAGGATTTTAGGAGTGTTATAAGATTCGTAAAAATAAAGAATATTCATGAAAATGATAATAAAAAATAGATAAAAGTAAAGATTTAAATTATGTGTGTAACCAATAATGACCGAATAATAACAAATAAATAAGAAAATTAAGATGAATTGGAAATCTGGCAATAATATTAATAATTGTTTTCTAATTGATGCTTTTTGCAAATTTTCTTTTTCAATTTCTTTTGGACTTGTGTCTATGTCGGTTGCACAAGAAATTGCAACCAACCCAATATCATTTCCTTCATCAATTATGTCCGAAATTGCTAAAGACCAACCAAAAACATTAGATGGTTTTTTATTAAAGAATTTTTTCTTATCGAAGGGTATATTTTTATTTGCATTCGTCGTCACTTTTGTGACTAATATAGAAGAGTCATCTGAAGAAATAAGTTTAGGAAGAATTTACCCTATTATTTTTAAAATGAAAAATTGAATAAAGTATATATCAAATATAACTTACATGGATTAAACTTTGCTACTATCGAACCATTTGGGCTAATGGCAACATAATTGATTTTTTCTCCGTAAGTATAATTACCACTTTCTAGATCTTCAACGTACTCATTTTTTTTTATGTGTTCGTCTATTTCGGTTTCGATTTCATCCATGTTTTCTATTTCCTTATGTAAATTATGGGAAAGAGTATTTTTAAAAAATAATTCCAGAAAAAAATTATTTTTTTTTTTTCGCAGAAACTACATTTCAAGACTATATAAAGAATTTACTACGACGATCTTTTCTATATAAAGTCCTTAAAAAAATTGCAACATTATATGGTTTCACAAAGTTTAAAAATAAGTAAAAAACCGTACAAACAGATTGTGTTGTGTAAATTCAGAATGTTCCACGAATTTTAATCTTATCACAGTTATTTTAGTTCGACCAAATAAGATTCATCAAAAAATTTAAGTTTTAATGATCTCAGTTAAAATTTACTTCATTTTTTTAGTGTAACAGTGAAATGATATCAATTTAATTTTTTAAAAAAAGAATGCTATCTGTCTATTTGCTGGTTTGAGATTACTCTCATTCAAAAATGTAATAACAAAAATTTAGCTTAAAATTTGAAATAAATTCGTCTATTATAAACTTAATTTGCATTATTATTTTAATATTTTCTTTTAGTAAATTGTTTAAACGATAATGTTTCAATTAACTTATGCTAAGACGAAAAGGAATCAATCAGTATTTCAGTGTGTTAACTATAAAGGAAAAGTAAGAATTAAACAAAAATTTTATAAATCATATCTCAGAAAGATGATGAGATAAAAAAAATTAACAATTCAACATGAAGTGTTTGGAGTACAGTGACACTAAAACAATTAAATAAACGGATGAAAGAAATTTCAGTAAATTCTATTGCAGATCAATCATACGTCCGGGTAAATTTTACGTTTTCGGGTTCTACAAATTTAGAATTTTTTACTATTTATAGATGCATAATGACAGTACACAAAAGATATCGTATTATAAAATTTTTCTAAAATAATCAAATATTTTCCTTGAAATTTTTGCCGAAAAAACTTTTTTTTTTTACATGTTCGGTTTTGTGAATTCCGGCGGTGATACTATGCATAAATTTTTAACAATTTTTCTTTGATTAATGAAAGTCGATTTATTTACTTCTATTTATTATGTACTATTAATCTATTATTTACACAGCTTTCATTTACTTTTCATATAATTATTGTTTAATATGTAAAGTTGTTAATTTATAACGAAACTGCAGAATCACTACGGGATTTTGGAGGGTCACGAAAAATATGAAAAGGTTAACGCTTTTGATATAAATTTATTTTTGTGCTATTATAATCCATTAATTAAATTTTTCCTATAAAAATTTTCATTTGCATTATTTTTTTTTACTACACCTTACTGTATCAATTAAATAAAAACATCAGTCTATGAAATTTTTTTGAAATTTTGCGAATGTAATATAGTTCATCCAATCATACCTCAATTTTTAATAATAGTTCCGCAGGTCTGTGGATATGTAAATATGTAGTATATGTATAAAAAAATTTTTTTGACGCTTCACAAAAATTGTGTGGGTGAATAAATAGTCTTGTAATTTAGTCATGAAAATGTTCTATTCCAAAGATAGTAATAATCTAATAATCTTGTATTATATGAATGTCGCTTCTGATCTTATTTATCATTAACTATCATAAAATTTTATTTTACTATTTAGAATTTAATTTTTTTTTCGTCAATATTCGTTAGATTATAAAAGGACCCAGAAATATATATATAGGGGTCAGGTGGCGAAAAAATTTTTTACTATGAGCTGTACGCAGAGACTTTTTATATGAGTAGTACGCATAATTGACACCTGATATTGAAAATCCTGCAAAAATACGCAAATAAAATTTCAGACATTAAGTTATTAATTATTTTATCATGGCTTCTATATTATTTATAAAACAAATTACTAATGTGAAAAAATAGAATTTACCATTTTTTTAATAATTTTTTTCTAAAATTTCACTTTTTAACCCTTAGAAATTTCTTACAATTCGGTTAATTAAATAAGTACGTACAGTACGTACAGTAAATATATTATATATATAAGATTAGCCAAATTTAGGTCAAAAATACGCAAACTAATTTTTTACATATAAAAATTTTGATAAAAAATACGCAATCTTGATGACCTAACTATAGATGAAAAATTCTAAAATTGTACGCAAATCAAAACTTTACTCCGTCTAATTCCACTATGATGGCGACGCATTTGTGTACCCTACCCCTGTATATATATTTCTGGGTCCTATTATAAACAATGAATATTTTTAATATATCATTGTATTTCAGTTTAAAATTCAATAAACTTTTAATATGAGTAAAATAATCATAATAATCTTTTCTTTTTTAGATAATATTAAATAATGTTGGTCAGAATTTATTACTTATTTTAGTAGCTGACTGACATTATCATAATTCCGGCCCTGAAAAAATGCGTAGAGCCAATAATAAGTTTTTGCTAATTTCCAGTCTAATTTCCTATGACTTATTTACACATTGCTCAGGGTCCTACTATATCATTATGTTTAAACGAAATATTGGTTATATTCCTCCTGTAATGAATTTGATTTAATTCTTTATAAAATTCTCGTAGACATTGTGTTGAACTTTAATAATATTATTATTTTGCTGCCTATCAAATAGCTGCTATTTCATTTCCTTTCACACCAGAATGAGTTTAAACTTTAAATATCGTGATTTCAACATTTGATTCTAGAAAATGTTTCAAAAAAATGTTTGTAAATTGTATATTCCAAACTCCCATCGTATTCCAAATTCCTTTGTTTTAATAAAACAAATTATTACATAGATGGTAGACCGTTAAACTATCTGTATACACCATCACTTTACTAGTCATAAGTATCGCAACTAATTCTAATTCTACTACACAGTAATTATTAACTATTTGTAAAAATCTTTTATTTAACAGAAATTCTCTATTGACAAAAAACATCCAAGCCTATATATACCTCTCTTTCCATCTTTAGACGCCGCATCCGTATAATTATGATACCTATCTAAGTTCCTATCATCTTAATTAATTTTAAATGTCCCTCTATAATTAACAATACAATTTTCAAATTTCTAGTACGATTAACATCATCATATATTAAGACTAAAATATTAGTTGCTGTTTATTAAATTGTGAATGGTGACGAAAAACTGCGCAAGTATATAGAAATTTTACATGTTTATATTTGCTAACTTCAAAGAATTCATTTTTTAAAATAAGGCTGCTCCAATTTAATAGTTTGTTTAACGTCCTAATTTTATATAAAAATTGAGGGAGGAAGGGGGTCAAATTAAGTAAACATTTAAAAATAAACATAGTTTTTTCTTTATCACTCAATGCATTTTTACTAAAAATACATCTTAATTTATTACAGATAATGCAATTAATAAGTTTACATATATTACTTTTATTAATTATACCATTTTCTTTGGTAGATTCAATTACACTGGAAAGAAATTCTTTTAAATAATATACAAATCGGTGATGTTATTATAAGTCACGTGATATAACATATGTTTGTTTATTTTTAAAAATTTTTCAAAAATGAGGGGGGTGGGGTACGTTAAACAAACTATTAAATTGGAGTGGCCTAAATATTTACATTAATTAACAAATCATAATTCCATTACACTAAGCATGCCATGTACTAGCTGTTCAATACATTCTGGATGTCTGTAACTTGAAGAGGTTTTAATGGGAGTGAAGATCGATAATAAGATTGATGATCGCGTTTTCTGAGTTTTTATCAAACATCTAGTTAGGTGACTTCCATAAGTGATGATGGTGGAATAATATCAACTTTATTTGTGTGCGTTTATGTTTCAGGATTTGAAAGAAAATGTAGATCTTATAGATTGCGATCCTGTTGAGAACTATAGTATCAGGTAGTGTATTATAGTTACTATAGCAGTCCTTTCCTTCCCTTCTATCAGAGAAACACCATCTTAGGGTGGCTTTTTTACAGTTTTCATTTTGTAAGTTCTCCAAATTACTCTAAGTAACTTGTTACTGATATTGTGAAATAAAATAAAAATAAATGAAATAGTAAAATTCTCTCTATTAGCTTGGCCGGATATTAAAAATAACAAAAGTTTAAGTACATTATAAGTACTTTGCTGAAACCTCGGATTTAGCAACTATAACACTTCTGGCATGTGACTATCATGTGACTATAGAGTCGATCACTAGTGGCATTTTTTTCGTTTCGACTGTCCAGTTTCTACCTCACTACTTTACATTTTCCACATGAAGGTAATATGAAACTTTAATTATTTTTTAATTTTGATAAATACGTTTTTATTTTTGAAAAATACAATTATTTTTTTTAGAAAAATTATGGAATTATATAGATTCTAGCTTTTCACTTCATATCTTCTATATAGCGACGATAAATCATTTTTAATTTTAATGAATTATATTCGAAAATAAATTAAAATGTATTAATTAAAATGTATAGTATTATTAAAATGTATTATAGTACTAGTACGAATCAGTCGAATCATTGTAAAATTTAGACATTATGAAATGCATTATAATAAATATATAATAAAAATTCTATAAATTTAAATAATAAATTTAAATATAAGATATATAATAAAAATTCTATAAATTTAAATAATAAATATAAATAAATTGTGTAATTAAACATAAGATATATTGATATAATAAAAATTCTATAAATTTAAATAATAAATATAAATAAACTGCGTAATTAAACATAAGATATATCGATATAATAAAAATTCTATAAATTTAAATAATAAATATAAATAAACTGCGTAATTAAACATAAGATATATCGATATAATAAAAATTCTACAATAAATAAATTGTGTAATTAAACATAAGATATATCGATAAATATAGTTGGAGCTTCATAAACCTCGTAGCCACGCTTATTTAAGGCAATGTATTACTAGACCTACGCTAAAGATAACTTTAGCAAGGCTTTCTTTGTGAATTAAAAGAAATTTCATACATCCTGCCAGCTGGTGAGCAAGCCTATGAAGTAACCCACATTAACACCCCCACATTAACACCAATAAACAAAACTTCGTACAAATATTTAAC